TTTACTGAAATTTACATATTGTAATTTAACGCGGGTGAAACCGCGAGCACAGCTAGTACTTAATATGTCAAATAATTTAGCTTTACACTTTCAACTGTCGACGTATATTAATTATCATGCAATCAGATGATCTACCTTCATGATAACTTGACTGGCATCGGAGTCAAGGTCTCACGTTAACCCTATTCTGGCCAGCGGGTCAGATATAAATCGTGACTCATGGGGCCAGTTTCGTGTAATTTGCTCATTAAACCATTGACGAGGGCCTTGGACTGATGACATCTTCCTTCGTGATAAATTGTCTGGTTGCCTTTCGTGGTGGATAATTACGTTTAACTACGTTCTAATGGACTGAACTCTGATAAAACATGTCCGTGAGGATTTCTAAAGTTTAAGCAATTAGGCCGGGCTAGAATAAAGCCTATATTAGTATTAATTTATTATCGCCTGAGTTCAGACTTTTTATACGTTCGCATAACAAAAACTGTAGGCGGGAAGGGGGAAGAATTGGTAGTAATGTCCACTAATGACCGCATTGCTAGCAAAGTACCACGTCAGGTTGACCTCTACGCGGTACCCTGGAAACGATCATGACTAATTCCTGGTGAATTTGATGATGGGCTAACTGATCTGACCTCATACTCGTATCATCTTCCACTGATGCCCCGCCAGCGCAAACCGTTAGCGCAGATGGGAGCACCATTATCATCAATAAAAAAACACATAGGTAATCACTAATTATACAACGATTAAGTTATCAGCGACAAAAAATTCGTAATGTGCGCGGAACCAAATCAATGGAAATGAATACAATAAACTTCTGATTCCATTTATAAAACACAAATTCCATATCGTATTATGCCTTTTGGTGGGTGGTCTACAATGGTCATGTATTTTATACATACGGATATTATAGTAACCTGAATTGATAACATCAATGACTATAGTCACCCAGTTACAAATAAATAATAAACTTATCATGAAAACATAACATTAAAAAATGTATTACTCATATTTATTATTTCTATGTACCTATTATATAGTTCTGTGACGTTATCATCTGCTACAATTCATGCCTTAGAGTTAGACAATCCATAGATTTGTACGGTGTAAATACCAAAACGTGGAGAGCTAATATATGTATGTTAAATTTAAGTAATAAATTACATTTCATATCATTTCATTACACCTACACTAATTCACACCCCCAAAACCAATAAGAAGCATTGAAAAGATTTGAGATTGAATAATGTTCAGACACGCCCACTTCCACAAATCATTCCCCACATAAAATCCACTATACTAATTGCTGTGACTGTCTCTCACGATAACAGCTGCACTAGTGAGTACCAGATAGTATAAAAATAGCATCAATGAAGCTCTATGGCGATAAGTGGTGACAGCGCTTCCCTATGTACACAAACACACAAATGGCTACCACTTGTATATAGAAATTATATTTTTTTTATTAGTGGACCGTAGCGTGCGCAATACGCACTCATCATACACTAACGGTATGCACTATCTGGACACCAGTGGAGGACGATATGATTAAGTTAGGTAGGTTAGTTCATCGCACTCGTAGTCAGTTCTTCTTAGCTGGAATGCACTCCGAATTGATGGTAGATTTTCACATATCATACGAGTCTGTAATAGACAATTTGATTTTGTAGCACATTAAGCAATAATCCAGCCTATGCCTGCTAGTTTTATTATATTTTGTTTATTGGTTTGCTTGTCTTTGGATTCGTCATGTTTTAGATTAGAATTTAGTTTTATTATTTGGCTGTATTAGGTATCTATTACGTTAGAGGATATTACACTATCACATAAATCATGAATTGGGTTTGTCATAAGTGTTTGTAATAGACCTACATGAATAAAGATAAATTGAATTGAATTGAATCAACCTGGTTAAATGCTGGTTAATTCACCACAATTGCTATCTGACCTGACTTCCTGCTCATCATATCATCCTCCACTGGACCCGCTAACGCATAACGTCAGTGTAGGCATTATAATGCATTAAAAAATTTACTAATTTTAATGTATAAAAATTCCGGTCATGTTTTTTGTCCGCGATTACGACAACTGATTTAAATGATTTTTATATATCCCTAAGTAATATAGGTAATATATGAGTGGCTCACACGAAAAAAATCTAAAAAATTACATACCTACAACCCTAAAATTTTTACCACCAACCCCTACTTTTAATAGCATTATTAATTTACATAGCAAAACAACGTTTACCGGGATAGCTAGTATGTATATATACATATATATTTATATATATCTCCAGTGAGCTAGTGTGGATATTACGCAACATTCTGAATCAGTGCTATACTTCCATAGTGAACTCTAAGAAACACTTCAATCAAGGGGATATGATTCATGGAAAATGATATTCATATTACTGATATCTGTTATCAAGTATCGGTATAAGTAAAATACTATATTAATAGTTATTCAACGTAAATTCTGCTATCAGATATATAAATACTAAGAAAGTATTTGTTTATCAAACACTCACATTCACTAGTGACTCAGATTACACTCTCACTCTTCGAAAACCACTGTTGCTACCTAGTTGTGCTGAAGCCAGAAGTCATACTATTTATCATAGTCAGCCATACTCTTAATTTAGAAAGCACTAATCATTTGGGAAATAACCATAACATTACAAGTCAAAATACATAACAACTATATATAACTATACGAGATCTTTGGACAATTCACATAGCACCATCTAGTCCCAATCTAAGCATAGGTTGCATTATGTACTAGATAACTGAAATACTTTTTTTTTAAATACATACATTATATACATAGATAACACCCAGACTGATAGGGGGGAAAAGGGATTGTTAGTAATGTGGACTCATGACCCCATTACTAGCAATGTACCATGTCAGATTGACCTCTGTGCGGATCCCCCTGGAAGCCATCCTCATAAATTTCTGGTGAATTTGTCACAATGGGCTAATAGACCTAACCTCATACTCATCTTATCATCCCCCACTGGCAATACTTGATACAAAGAATTGAGCAGGGAATAGAACTCATAACAAATAGCAGTAAAGTGTCATAAACTGCTCCCTCTCTGAAGTTGAAGAATTAAAATTACTACTTTTTTTAATTTACAGAGTACTAAATAAAATTAACTCTCACATTACCAAATATATGTATTAGAAGTTATTAGTGTTTTTATTACTTTTTTCATACAGTTTGTCCTTGACCATGCCTCCTTTAGAGACTTTGAAATTGTATTTACTTTACAACTCTAATTAAGATACTACACAGAAATTGGAAGTCATGCAACATGTAAGAATATATAAACATGAGCAATAGCAATGAGGTTATTGATAAGTCTACATATTTTTTTATTTTAATAATTATTTGTTAGGTACTTTAATAAGGTACAGGTGTTTATATCTATTACCAATTATTTGCCTTTTTGCTGTACTTTTTCTTTATTTAATTGAAAAAGACTGCATGAAATACATGTATATGATATATTGAGATTGTGAGTTAGCTTATAGAATTTTTTTAAAGAATTTTATATATATATTTAAAATAATAAATAAAGTAATTTAAATAATACCAGCCTGTAGATTCTTTAATACACTATCTTTATAACAATTCTATGTGAATAAACTATGAAACTAGATAAAGAGGAAGGAAACAGTGTTATCAGAATGTACTACTGCAGGAATAACTATTTTGTAACGGAAGTCAATTGCTTTATGCATTTAGTAAGTTTGTGATTTATGAAAAATTATGTATGTGTCAACATTTCCTATGACTATCGGAAATGAGATAATAATTTTGTGGTTATTTAATGGGCAAAATGTGTACCGTACAACTTATGATAGGAAACTTTATATTTATGTTATTTTTTTCCCTTTATGTTTTATTCCTAGTATATCGGTGATGAGTATGTGTACTGAGTTGTAAACTGACTATAATTAATTCTAATAAATCATTTAACACTAAAATAAATTCATTTGCTATTTAATTGAAGTTTAATTATATTATTAATTCATGTAAGAAATATATCCACTAAGAAGTATAAACTGTAATTATTTTTGTTTTGTGGTTGTATTATGTAGGTATATTTATCAAACCCTACATAAATATTTTTAAAAAGTTAAATATTGGTCTTCTTATTTATTGTATATATTATGTTCTTACTGTTATATGTTTAATAAGACTTATTGTCTGTGAAACGCTACAAATTATGTTATTGTACTCTTAGATGTATATATGTTTGTATTGATTTTTATTAGTCTAAAATAAAGAAAACAAAAAAAATACTGATACTGATGCATATATACTACTAATTTTGTTAGACAATAAAAATAGGTGTCAGTTCCTGGTCTTAGAGATAAAATAATACTCACGAGGGAGGAGGGCTGCTGCCTTCCCTTGAAAACTGTATGCCTTGCATATTGTAAGGCATACTGTTTTATATTATTGGCAGTAATGGGGATTGATGAATGTATTTATTCATAGACAGTAATGTACCATGTTAAGTAGACGACCTCCTAATAAACTTAGGAAACTTAGTTGTTGTCATTTACAAATGGGGAACTGTAACAAAATTTGGAAACAAATAAAGCAGTTTCCTACGGAAGGAAGAAGATGAAGAAGGAAGGAGCCTACTAACTTAAAATAAGACGAAAATTGTTTAAATATACTTTTTCTATATTATCACTACAAAATATTGTAATAAAATATAAATACAGTGAATTAATGGGAAGGATATTGTTACTAAAAACCTCGACCGGGTACGACTCGGCAGGACATCTTTACATCTCCATAATTAAAAAAAATGTGACTCATAAATTCAATACAGCTGTATCAACAATATAATAGAGAATTCATTCACTTAACATCAGGCAAAGGCCAGTAAACACGAGTACTTATCCTTTGTACGAAAGTTAGCAGCAGTATGTTTGTAAACAAAGATGCCGGCAATTTTCGGTAGATAGACTCACCAGAACTTTGATGAACCGGCTTTCCAATTCGTCCCGATCCGGCATCGGGGGCTTCGTCCGGTTCCTAGTGGACGGCTGGCGGACATGGTGACTCTTCGACGACGCGACCGGTCCGTCCAGCATTGTCTGATCCCTTGACGTTATCAAACCCATTTTACAAAAACTTAAAAATCACTACTAACACATATTTCACCAAGTCGTCATTTTATCACAGACAACAGCACTATTATACCACTGCAATTAATAAATCAACAGATTTGCAATCACATTCTAGAGAGGCCACAGTGAAGCGATGAAAGAAAAACGAGTCCGACAGCAAGCAATCGTCCGGACGAACGACAGAATAACAATAAAAAAAATTACAAACTGAAGTTATGTGTGAACGCGCCACGCTGATGTATCAGTTAAATACAGTGAAGTTAGCTCTAAATTGTAGAAGTAGCAACCAATCAAAAGTTAGCTGCGTTCAGAAATGCAACATATTGAATGAACTACACTTGCGTAATTGTAATAAAAATATATTTTTAATTACCTAACCGGAGAAATAAAATAAGCAAATATACTTTAGTTTCTGTGTTTGAAAGTTTTGGAAATAGTACAATAACCATTAATATTAAACAACAACAACGAAATGTTATGTTGCGGTTATTGAACGTGTCGTTTAGTTCTTCGAAACAGGCAAGACCAGACGGGGGAAAAATAAAATATACCCACAGGCTTTAAAAATTTTAATAACTATCTTATTACACTGAATGATCTATTCATTCACATAGTCGTCCTAGGTTTAACAATTTCAGATGAGAATATTTTCATGTTTCTTATATTTTTTATAGGCGAGTTTTATTTGGCATGTCCCATTATATAGGACCAAAATGTATAATAGTAAAAGTAGGACTGTAGAATAAATAAAATGAAACATTTTCTTATATTAAGTGTAGGTACAAAATATAGCGGCAACGAGACCCTGATGTTATTGCCCGTATCCGATTACAATAATTATACATTACACCATTGTTAGCACCATTTTTTTATATTTTTTTAATTTTCTAAAAACATACCATTACCTTACGATACTAATGCATAATAATAACGAAAAGTTGACGGTCTTTTAACTTTTTCTTTTACATAACTATATTTCTAAAGATTATAAGCTTTTTATTTATTGATATACCTACTGATCACACGACAGTCTCTATCTAAATGAACTTAACATATTCACCAACAAATTATACTTCAACCTCTATACTGTAAGAAAGTATAATTTAAAGTAAAGAGTTTGAAAGATAAATACACAAGAAAATTTGGTCCAGCTTCAACAAATGGATGATACATTTCTTTCTTGTTAATCAAATTCGAAATCTTCACGTCAGTACAGTCTTTGGTTAGGACAGAGAAGATTTAAGAAAATATATAACTTAAATTTATAATATCACAAGCATAATAAAAAACACTGAAACAGTTCATTGTAGCTAATAATTTCAGTCAAATATGGTTAGGTATATTCTTTGTATAAATAATGTAAGCATCCTTTAATATTTAATAATTTATTAATATACGATCTATTTGGTAAAATTAATTGATTTACTTAACATAATACCAGAGTGCAATAAAACAAAATTGGGTAACATGGTGTATATTAAATTAAAGGTGTAACTAAGCAAACGTTTAAGCGAATATTAGGACCAGGTCGGGATGGCATATATAATTAGGTTAGGTAATTTGACAAAGGGTACAATGCACAAAGTACTATGCGAAGCTCGTACAGTAATGTACATTGTTAGTTTGTCCATACTACTATAATACACGTACATTTTAATACTTTAAAGGCATAATTCGCTCACCCACTTAAATTCACCTTAAACTAAATTTCTTATACCTTACTTTGCCCTCGCCCCTAATCTATCAAGATTTGCTCTACCAAGATTACGTCTTTTAAACATTCGTCGTTTTTATGAACGTAATAACATGCAAAAACTTGCTAGAAATGGACCTACATTAAATACTAAAATCTGTAAAGGCACAATAAATGAGCTTATGGCAGCTTCGTGCCTATTATACGTATAAAGGACAATATTCAATGATCCCATGTATATCTACAACACAATGAAAGTGATACACTAATAGAACATTGAAATCAAACAATCTACAAGAAATGCTTGCAACCTTTGTATAATATTACTTCTAACGTATTGCTTCCCTAGCTATTATCTACCCTTCTTGCAATGAAACTTCCGCTATATCGACAACACACGATTTGATTTGCGCTTATCATCAATACACTATTTCGAAATCAGTGCTCACTACTCGATATTTTAGTATTAATTGATGGATTATGTATTTCTTGATCGTATACTTTTGGATTCTCCAATTAATTTCAGGCATGCGAAGATAATTTGATTCGAATTATAAGTTATAGAAAATGTCTGCGTAAACATAGATGATATTTCTTCAAGGATCGTTTTCACTCCGGGTAACGATCTTATATATTCTATGTGTCTACTGACAAATACTCCATATCATGCTATTGTTGGTAGATGTATCCTTTTCGAATCACCGTGTGGTGAAAATAACAATACAATCAGTCACCACTCATTTCACTTCCAGCATGTCGAATATCTCCGAGACGAGTACTTGCGCATCAGTAATAAAAACCACAACCCGAACCGTTTGTCAAGGGTGGTCACAACATCCTCCTTCTTTAAGAAGCCATGCTCAGTAGTCGATCTATAATGACTTATCTTAATAATGTAAGCCATAAAACATGTTTTATACATGTATAAATCTTAATTACACTTTACACGAACGCATGAAGCGCGTATAGAAGAGAAGCATTACTTGGACGCATCTTCTTTGTTCCAAGAGTCAGCTCAGTTGCAGAACGATAATGGGTCGAATAATAATCATAATGATATACCTAAGCATAAAACATGTTTTATACATGTATAAATTTTAAACGCCTTACACGAACGCATGAAGTGCGTATGGAAGCGCAGCGTTATTTGGAAGTATCCACCTTTTCTAAGAGACTCATGCTGAGCAGTGGAACGACAATAGATTATCGTAGTGATATAAACAAGAAACATGTTTTATACATGTATGAATCTTAATATAAACGCTGTACACGTATTATACATGAATCGCGGTGTTATTTGGAAGAAGGGTAGTAATAGAGAACTGCGCAGCCTGGCAGCTGCCAGCGCGAGGCGTGCAGCTCGATGAGCTGCAGCAGCGTGCGGCGGATGGAGGGCGCGGCCGCCGTGTTGAGGAACGCGTCCCGCACCGCCGTCAGCAGCCGCTCCAGGTCGCCCGGCAGCTGCTGCTCCAGGTCGCGACCGATGTACGTCAGCACGAAGAACAGGTTCTCCGTCTGAAATACCAAGTCATCACTTAGGGTTCGTTATCAAAATGAGTATGATTAGTCATCTGCTTCTTCCTTATCCTAGTCATTTAGGGTCGGTGTAGTTTTTCCTCTTCTATTCATCCAAAACTGGATATACCAATGATTGGTTGATAAAGATAATTAACGGCCTCGGTGACTTAGCGGTTCAGTATACCGCTTGACTTCCGATTGTCGGAGGTTCGATTCCTCGCACGGTATAAACATCTGTGTTCATGAGCACAAATGTTCACACTGTATATATATCTGTATTTATGAGTACGATTGTTTATATCGGGTATATTATATCTACACTTAGAAAGATCTAAGTATTTATATCAATTGTCTAGTACCCATAACACAAGCTATATTTCTAAAAGTCCATCGAAAAGTCGTGCCATATTTTACTTCTATTATTCTATATATTTATTAAGTTAGCGGGGTGGATTTGAGTCGCAGGTTGCTACTCACATCGCTGGCGGAGGGCACGGGCTGGCGGATGCAGTCCTCGCAGCACTTGCAGATGAGCGTGAGCAGCACCTGTCCTGGCTGCGCGGAGGCGCCGCGCCGCTGTATGGCGCGCCGCCGCAGCTGGCAGTACATCTCCAGCAGGAACGACAGGAACGCCATCAGCCGCGGCCGCCCGCCGCCCACCACGCCGCCCAGCAACTGACCATACACTCACACCATCAATACCACAAGCCACACATTTTAAAACATTACTATTGTAAACTCAACCACACGGTTACAAATTTATTAATTAAGCTTTTTATCGGACTACTCTAATGCTGTTGGCCGCAGTTGACCTTTACAGCTTCACCGGACGATAGGGGCGAGTGCAGATGGCACTCCAAACCAAGGAAGGACTTATGGAGCGGCTGAAGACCAACTCCCGCCTGACGGATACGACTTTAGTCTAAGGTGTGCCCTTGGTGCTAGGTTCGAATCTCGGCTCAGGCCGTCGTAATATCAATCCGCATTTGAATTGGACGGGGAATCGATCGAGGGGAAAATTAATGAAGCGTTCAATTTTTATGGCCTTGTAATACAGTATTTGACCTTGAAATAGAACAGCTTATTTCAGGTTAAGTTTACTGTTCTTATTGTATTTTTGTATGATAAATTTGACCTAGATTATTTTTTTTTAATATATTGTTCCCGGGAAAATTGTAGAATAAAAGTTGTTCGATACCATGGTTACTTATCTACATATCTTTGCGGATTAGCATACCCTTTTCGACTAATCATCTATGTTAAAAATCGACAAGACGATATTTACAGGAATATATACTTTAGGTACATATGTAAATATATTGTATTCTAGTCATAGCAATTCTTGTCTCTGGAAAATTCTAGCTCATATTCACTATCCTCTCAGCCTAATATTTCCTACACTGCAGGTCTGGTTGACAATTTAATTTGAGTAAATATAAATATTACTTTCATTTGAATTCTCCTAGCTTAATCGCTATTTTATGCCACTTCAGTTTATTATTCTGTTTCATTATATCAACTCTCAGAACTCTTTCATCGACTACTTTAAAATTGATACTAGTTGTGCTTCGAACAAGCTATTGGTTAAAGTCAAAGAGTTAAAAACATCTTGTAAGTTTCTGTTCGCTTATGTCTTTTTAATTACGGAACGGATTTTAAAGTAGTTTTCAGGAATGGATACAGTGATTCTATGTATGATGAATAATGAGTGTTTATATTAATAATACATGCGTATTATACTATAGAACATGCCGAGAAATAGCAGTGAAAATCGAAGTCATCGTCATTAGAGTTCACAACATACACTGTTTCATCTTTATCCATTGTTATTTAATTTCTAAAACACTACAGTACAAAGGTATGTTCTTTACCTTTTCCCTGTCGTGGTACCACTGTTGGCAAGTGTTGAGCAGAGACTCGAGGAAGGTCTCGGTCTGCTCCCGCTCCACCACCGCGATGCAGCGGCGGGCTGCCGGCAACGCGTACCGCGGAGACTCCACCGCGCGAGACACAAGGTGTCCTACGGCATCCATCAGGGTCCGAGCGCATACAGCGTTCGGATCTGAAAATCATATCAAATCAAAATGGCATCTTGTTTTTTTATTTAATATTTTAAAATATATATTTTCATTAGGTTGAGAAACTTTCGCTTCATACAAAGCGATCATATGATCGTTTTAAGATTACCTTTATTTATCGGGAGAACGGTTTCCAAATTTTACGATTTCGATTACTGAGTTTTAGACTGGTGTACATCCACTTTTTACTGATACACATCTTTTTAAAATATACTGTAATATTCGATCTGTAAATTTAACTCACCTTCAAGAGCCTTGTCTATACACTCTTGTATCTCTGGTGGAAAATTGCCCAAGTCGCCCGCATCCGCAGCAAGACCCAAGGCCGCCATGCCACTAGCCAGGGCGTCTGCCGAGGTCAAAGATTTGGACCTTTTGAGCCCTGGAGTGAACGACTGTGGCCGGATGCTCTTGCCATTGCCATTGGTCAGGGAGGACGGAGGAGATTTCTTCTTTTCAGGCATACCCTGCTGTGGTTGTAATTTAAAATGCACACGTGGACCCACCTGCAGACACAGACAACAAATAGAGAATAATTAAGAATATAATGTCAAGATAGTTTTAAAAGCTCCTATTTAATCCTAATAAGAGTATGCAATCATTATAATAATACGTGAAGCAACAACTTTGTAATAATATTAATAATAAACTCTTTATTGTGCAAATAGAATACAATAAGAAAAACAGTAAATAATAAAAAATTACAAAAAGCGGTCTTACCGCTATAGGCAGCTTCTTACAGACTTTGTACCCCTTTTTACGAAAATTACACGGACGGAGGATAATGAAATTTCGCACACTTATGGTTTATATGAGAAGGAGTGCAGAATGCTAATTTAAATTTTTTAATTATGTATTAAAATCTATTATATCAATAATAAAAAACATTACACACACTATTATTGTCTTAGACACCAACACGCAAAGTAGTATCTATATCTCATTGACAATAGAACCTTAATAATGTATAAACTAATAATTTCAATTACTTAAGATACAATTTTGACCATTGGGGCGACCACTATTTATTGAAATTATTTACCGCTACCATAAACAAGAGACTTGGTGTTCTTTTGTTGTTGGTGACGGGATGATGATCTCGCTCACAATGGACACCAGTGAAGGTTAAAGTAAAAGCATAAATTCAAGCTAAGAAGGCTCATTATGAAGAATTCACACCAGTAATTAGCTAGTATAGTTTTTAAAATCGACCTAATAGGTTACATTTTTAATGGATGATGAAATGTTGCTCCCGTTTGCGCTAACTGTATAGGTAGGTACACTGCCAGACCATTAGTAGAAGATGGTTTATAATGTATGGTGAAGTCACTCAGGTGAGTTAGTGATGCGTAAGTAAAATTTCTTTTTTACATTAAGAATAGAATAGATTACAATATAATTTTATTTGACATAATAATGATATAAAAACTATAAGCAATAATTTACATACATCAAAAAACACAATCAATGTGAACCACAATCAGCATAATGCTGGAAACATAGTTTCCAACGCTGATTTTCAATGTGTTGTATTCATTTCCAACAAAATACAATTTGTTTTACTGTGTCATTGTGTAGCCAAAGGTTCTAAAACGAATGATGTTTTAAAACGTTTTAATTAATATATTTCAGTTAGCCGTTAATTGTATAGAATTCGCCAGAAAATAACTATGTGACTTTGAAGGAGGTCCCTTTGGAAATCGCTTGGTTAGCAATGGGGCCAACCCCTGTCATTTGAGTGGATGGAGATCGTTAGAATTTGAATTAATGACCTCATTGCTAGTCTATAACATGTCAGATTTTTTTGACCTCCACGCGATTCCCCCTGGAAACCATCGTGATAAATTCCTAGTGAATTTGTCACGAGGGGCTAACTGACCTGACCTCATACTCATCTTATCACCATCCAGTAGTGCCCCGTCAGCATAAAACGTTGCAGCTGGCGGGAGCGCCATTCCATTATCATCCATTAATAAAAAATCTACGTAATTTTAATACCCTTTCCCCGACAAGTGAGATATGATAAGTAGAGGAGATGTGTTTCTATATTGGAGTAATGCGTCATAAATATCTACATATATACAAATCAATCGTTTAGTTAAGTTAAGTTAACACATAAGGAAACTGAAGGTCATAAGTCATAATGTAAAATCGAAACATCCACGGTCTATTTTTAATCGATGACTTATTGTTTCACTGAGCAAATTTATAACATACATGAATTTGAGAACAAGAGAATATATTATGCGGTTATGTCAATATACCATCTATACCGTGTCTATATTATAACCACAGATAAAATATATTATGCTTGATAAAGTGAATATTTTGCTTGGTTACTTAGCGTCGGCGTTTGAAACATATTTCAGATGTACCTATGTTACAAAAAATTTAAACATGTTGTAATTATTAGTAGCCAGTGTTTGAAATACGCGCCTAATAAATGAAAATTATAAGTTTGTACATTACTAATGTTCTATTGTCATAGACAAATGATTCTTTTCTCAATTTGACCACAGAGTCTAACAATAAACAAAAGAGTATATGCACATGTGAGTGATATAAATTAATATATTCTTAAGAACACATGTATAGTTATAATAAGGCGGCATTATTGCTGAAAGCAATCTTTTCAAGGCAAGGATTAATCTGCATTAAAAATATTGCCTTTAGTTTTCTTAAATTTTTAATTAAGTACAAAGGTAAAGATGTTATGATGAAGGAAAATAATCTAATATATGAAATACTCGTGTACAGGTTTCGTGCTCCTCCGAAACGGCTTGACCAATTTTGGTGAAATTTTATATGTATATTCAGTAAATCTGAGAATAAGTTTATAAATAATATTTATACCCCTAAGTGCTAAGGTTGGCTCACCTCAATTTTTTTTTCTTATTTAGACAAAAAAATATATTTTTTTTTTTATTGTTAGGTGGCATTAAAAATACATACAATCCTAAATTTTCACCCTTCTATCACCAACCCCTATTTTTTAATAGCGATATTAATTTATATGGTATAACAACGTTTGCCGGGTCAGCTAGTAATAAGTATGACATTAATCAAAATGTATGTACTATTAGTTGTGTTGACTTACAGATGCGTGTTGTACATTGCCGTCTGTGCTTCCGAGCAGAGTCTGTGACGGCAGCACGGGCCGGTAGTGCGGCGGCACCTGTGCGTGCAGCACCGCAGACCGCGAATGCTGCAGGCCCATACTGGCGTACCCAAGGCCCATTGCCGACCTGCAATTTTATAATATAAAATTATAAGCTAATTTTATAAATATGTATTATCATTACATTGAATAAAATAAAGTCGCTGTCGCTCCGTCCGTCCCTATGTATGCTTAAATCTTTAAAACTACGCTTTTGAAGGATTTTGAAGTGGTTTTTTAATAGATAGAGTGATTCAAGAGGAAGGTTTATATGTATAATACATGTACACCCGTGCGAAGCCGGGGCAAGTAGTAGCTAGTATATTTATAAATATATATAATTTATGTAACATAGTAATAATAGTATGTTTTATTACTATGTTTTATAGATCATAGTGATCGTAAATTTAATTTAATTTGACAGCTTCGGTGATATGATTCCAATCCTGTAATTAGAGCTATAACTAGTACTGAAAAGTTATTTTCGTAAATATTTGTATATTGGTGAAACCAAGAAGCGAACTCTGACTACGGATACACAGCTACGTGTATATAATTGCATCCAAGAGTTCCAAAGTGGAATGGACATTCTAGGATTAAACAAGTTGAAAAGAGGTGCCATAATGTGTACATTTAAAGGTTGTGTAATTCTACACACTTAAAGATTCTTTATGCAATATTTATCTATCGTATCTAGCAACATTATCAAGGAACTCTCATCAACATCGGTAGGTACATATATCCACTGCTATTGTGAATAATCTATTAGACTATGAAATTAAATTCAATTAAATAGTATTTATTCGTAGACGCTAAAACACTATGCTTAGATACATATTATTCAATAACAGGTAGATGTAAAAAAACATAGAATAGGAAATGATGAGGCAGACATGTCCATACAAATGTGTTGGAATAAAATAAATAAATTAGCATTAGTATGCTTCATGCAACACTACCAATGAAATCTCTCTCAACAAATTTAGAATAGAATAGAATTTATAGACTCTTTTAAGACCTACAACAATCATGAAATAAAACAAAATAATGAAATAAAAATACCAACAATTTACATAATACACACACACACACAGGCACACAGTCAACCACAAGTCGCATAAGGCTCGAAACATGGTTTATAGCTCAGATATTCTAATCACAATTAAAAAAACTTATCTTATTTCAATAACACTGTACATGTCGTAGGCAAATGACTAAATAAAAGTTGGATAAATATTACTAGTGGTCGCCCAACAATTCAACATTCACAATAATAATATTAATCTAATCTCAATATGATCACAGACTTTAACAATACATATATAATATAAAATAATAATACAAGTGAGTCAGATAAAAACACTCATACTCATGAATACAAATGTTTGCACCGTGCGCGAAATCAAACCCGCGTCCACCGAAAGTAAAGCAATGTGCTAAGGCCGTCATACTTATAACTTTGTTACGGTTGAACACAAGCGAGACTATTCGACAACGATTATTTAATATATTCACTAACTGAATACAATGGCGTGCATGTCTATCATAATCATAAATATTCTTTAAATAGGACAGTAATGCGTCTCACATACTCGGCCCGTTATGGAGCGCACTCCTGCGCAATGAGCGCCCATCTATTTCATTGGCGAATTATATTTATTCTGCCATAACAGATTATTTTGATTACTATCCTGGTATTGGAGTTATATCTTTCCTGTATGACCCGACATAGGATAAGTCAGTCTCTTCTAGTAGTTACAATTAGAGTCTAAGCGATACTATGCCCCAAAAATGATTCTTCATACAGAATTAATAATTTTTTTCGAGCCGAGTACTAATACAAAAATCTGAAGACCTGTAGATACATTTCCCCGATATCCCTTCTGAATCCTATATACTGTATACGATAATCTTAATTTCACCAGACTCAATTGCCAACTCCAGCCTCGTAAATAAGTCGTTTTAGAAAAGCGTTAAGAATTTAATACCCAGAAAATAAAATACTTCCCCGCTACTATATGTGAGTGATAAGTGTAGTAGAGAGAATATTCTTTAGTACAATAAACATAATTGAAGTATTTTTATATCGTCATTACTAATTTTTTTAATCTACCGATCATTCTCAAGCTATCTCATCACACGAAGACAAAGACGCCTGCGTCTTTGCGCACGCAGGTTGCGTGTTGTTATTATAATAAATTTAGTTGTAACTTGACATTTTAAAGTTAAAATGTGTGAATAGAAACTACCAACTAATTCATTAGAGTCAAAATGTTAAATATCCAACCAACTAGTTGATTAACTAAATAGTAAAGTAAAGTGATTAGATCAGACCAGTCCCCACAAGCAACATTCGTTCACAAGTATGACGAATGAGCCAGTCATCCCTGCTTGAATAAGTGCCTAATTATACAAATTGTAGGGCTATACCGCCGTCGTGGAAGTGCTAAATAAACGTCACTTAACGCTTCCTTGCCGACTAACGCGAAGACTGTAGGACAAGTGTATTAAACTACAAATGCCTTGCTCCGTATGAATACTCTCAGAACCAGTACAGACCCTTAACAAAAGCCCACCCTTAACGTTCATATTGATTTTGTCAATAACACTTAAAAAATCGCATACTGTAATTACATTACATTTATTATAAATATAATTTTGTAAAGTTTTTTTTATAAAGATTTCAGACAAAAACTACCAGTGCTTACTCTTACTCCAGTCCCTTATCCTATAAAAGTCCCATCTCCATATTTCTGTATCCTTTTCTGATGATGAATTTCCTTAATATACAAAAGACAACACACAGTAACAGTTCAAATGGGTGTCTAGCACATTTTATTTTTCTAAATAGGGGACTGAAGATTTTTACATATAAATATTATATTAGTAATTGGACTATCAATTTGAAAGTAGTGTGTTCTATATTAATTATATCCTAAAATATTTTTAAGCCTACAACATTTATGAAATAGCTGAATAATATTTAATTAAACAATCAGTACGTACATAATTTTAGCAAAACGAAAGTAGAACATTTAGATAACTTTATTTGAGTGTGACATGTAGTATTTTTATCTAAAGATACTGTAATGTTATATTTAATTATAATTCTCACCAAAATATTTAATATAATTAGTGACTATAACATATTACATTTATTGAAGTAGGTATTAAACTTTGTGGAAATAAAGTTCACAACACACACATTTGAACTTTGAACAATTGTATATGCACTTCAAAATGGACTCGCAATTGCAAAAAAACGTGCGTGATTTAGTGAATCAGTCAGAAATATAAATTAACAATAATAACTTCGTTAAAGTATATTTCCAAACGATTCTTCAAACAAAAATAATCCGAGAGACGTCGGTGGCTCGCCTCCGAGCTAAATACACAAATCATAGGCATGCCAAGTGTTGCGTTTACTACAACGTCGACAGTTGACAATAGATCTGACAACCCCATCTGCGGTAATAGCCGTTTCATCCGCGTAAAATTTATAGCCCATGTGTTATTCTGATATATATGCTATATTACTGCAAAGTATCAACAAAATTTGTTCAGAAGTTTTAAATATAGAGTAACAATCATCGATCCATCCATACTTACAACTTTCTCGTTTATAATATTAGTAAGATGATTAATCAATATGTTTTAAATGTCATAACTAGCGTTGCCAGACTTCCCGTATTTCCCGGGACATCCCGTATTTTAGGCTTAGTTTAACATGTCCCGGTGGTACTAACTCTGTCCCGTATTCGAATCTGCTCCGTTTTTTTATTATTAAATCGATCGATCTACGCTAGAGAAAAATACTCACGCACGCTACGAAAGTTGCGCTGTTGTGCGTTCCCCTAATTTAATAAAAAGCGAGTTCATGACCGTTTTAAAATATGATTATAATTGTATTAATTTTTATAAATATGTTAAAACCAATAACAACATGTTGAAACGGACTTGCTCCTCATAAAAATATATAAAAAAATAAAGAATGTCACTATATAATTTTGATTTTATTTGTCCCGGGTAAAAAACCAAATTCCCGTATTATTTTGCCTATTTAAATGTTTACCCCTTACAGGCTGAATAAATCTGGAAACTCTAGTCATAACGCTTACTAATCTTCATGACTGCGTCTTACACGCCGTACAACTTGATAAAAATTCAAGCCACTACGAATTCTTTCTAAACATTCTATCGAACTGAGAAACTAGCAACAAGACACCAAAATAGTGACGGTTCGTTTAGCGTAAAAAATAGTATAGCAAATGCTTTAAATTCATTCTCTAATGTACTCACATGTCAATCAGGAAGTAATTGATTTACGATTATAAGATGGAGTGCCAATAAATAAAGGTAATAGACATTGAGCGATTCATATGGTAGAAGTAAAAATAAAACCTGAGTGGCAACAGTGCTGGGTGGGTAAATATTTGTCAAGGTTGTTAGTTAGATTGCGCGGTACAGACTTCTAGCCTGCAAACAGTGATATCGGCTTAGATTAAAACAAAAAAGGACAAGAAGCGACATGTGCTTACATATGTTAAAATATAACAAAAGTATATAAAAGAAAATTATTAAAAATCTTTGCAATATGAGCTTAACGCTAAGCATCTAAACTGTGTTCTGATGAAAGCGTGAGAGAGATGATTGGATCTCAATCCAATTACCAAGTAAGGAGAGGCCGAAAACCATACTTCTCAGGAACTGTACTACGAGAGAGGTATCATGATTGTTATCTTTACATATAAAATGAAGTCTCTTCCGCTGTTTGTTCGCAAATCTTTTAAACTACGCAACCAATTTTAATGTTTTGATCGATAGATAGAGTGATTCAAGAGGAAATTTTATACGTATAATACATACCTACTATACATCTATATCTATGCAAAGCCTGGACTGGTAGCTGGTAATATGTAAAGCCATAATATTCTATTAGGACCTCATCTGTTTAGAAGCTGTCTAAAAGTGTCATAATTACCCATTACATACAAATGATTCCCTATGACTTGAAACCGATGTCAATAGACTTAAATTCAAAAATTATAGAAAATATATTTATTTTATCCGTTCAGAACTCTCCGTTTT